CCACTGTCTACTGCTACTGCTACTGTCACTTGCACTGCCAGCCGCATGCTACTAGCCAAAAAAAGAAGCCCTCTACTGCCAACTGCACGCGCCCACTGCTACTGCCACTGCTAAAAACTTGCCAGTGCCAACGCCACTGCTACTGCATACAGCCACTAGCCACTACGACTGCTACTGCGAAGCCACTGCTAGGCTGCACTGCCACTGTTCCACTGCGCGCTACTGCCACTGCCACTGCCACTACTACTACTACTGCTACTGTCACTGCCACTGCCACTGCCACTGCCACTATACGTGAAAATAGGAAGCCAGTGGATCTCCTTCCCTAAGAAAAGGATGATGACAATTCAATCCCTTCCCCCAATGACAGGATAATGACCCCATATAACATGTTTGTTTGCGCCCCGTGTCTTCAGCATGGAACAATCTCTGTGAATACGAAACGGCGGGGTGCTGTGTTTGCGTACAGCATCTGTCGGGTGGCGACGCGGATAATGGACGCTGTCATGGTGTCCAGCCCTACGATCTACCGACTCCAACCCCCTCCTGACCGTCTGACAGTGACCGCTCGTGACCCTGCCTCTTGAACTCGTGTTAGGTTTCTATGTAGACAAACTCTCTCCGAACCGTCTGTGTGCCTTCATTCATACGGCAGGCGGTAAGAGTTGCGTAGACCATATCCACCGTAACAGCTGCACCGATGGAAGCGCCATCTATGACCTTAATTCGAAGGATTCGCACGCTGTTGCGTATATTATGGCGTTTGGCCGTATGTAACCTCAAATTAAAACGCGTGTGGCGGAGGAGGCTGCGGTTATCATAGAATGCTTAGCCTTGACCTTTACATCGCCAACGCGTAGTGTATGTGTGTGTGTGTCCCCGCATCCAACAAATTATACGAAAGGTAGTCATTCTTTTGTTGGACGGATTCTCCACACTCGGTGTGTGTGTGTGTGTGTGTGTGTGTGTGTGTGTGTGTGTGTTGCGTGTGTGCTTGCGTGCGTTGCGTGTGTTGTGTGTGTATGTGTGTGGCGCGCGCGTGTGTGTGCGTGTGTGTTGGCGTGGTGTATATATATATGTGTGTGTGTGTGTGTGTTGTGTGTTGTGTGTGTGTGTGTGTGTTGTGTGTGTGTGTGTGTGGTGTGTGGCTGCTGTGGTTTGGCTTTGTTTTTTGTGTGAGTCTGTGTGCGTGTGTGTGTGCGTGTGTGTGTGTGCTCGCCCACGCGCACACATGCCCCCGTATTATCATTTCATTTACATGCTTTGCTGCATGTTTAACAAATTATGCCGAAAACAAATCAACTTGTGCCGTGGTGTGGTCTAGAGTGCAAGGATCAGTGTATAGCCCCGAGGCATCCGTGGTTTCAGGTTCGTGTCTACCACTCCGCTGTACTTACGGGCTGGCTGTCTCGTCCCAAGCTCGCACATATGTTACTTACTCCAAGCAAGCTACGTACACCGGCAACATCTTTTTTCTGCGTGTGCGTGAGCGCGTGCGTCTACGCTGTCCTCCGAGCGTGTATGTAAGTGCGTGCGCGCGCGTGTCCCATGCACGCGTATGTGCGCGTGAGTGCGTGCGTGCGTGCGTACGTGCGCGCACGTGCCCGGCAAAAACGGGTTTTGTTTAATGACTCGGCCGCTAATGTAAATTCTGCTTATTTAAGCGAGCGAATGCTTTCAGCGAGATTACTTAAGCAAAATTGTTAGTAAAACACGTGTATGACTTTGCTATCTGCAGCGAGCGATCGGCAGGGCCCTCAATGTTATATTGGGCTCCGATGGGTTGCGGTGGGTTCGCGGCTGCCCTATTACGCACCCGATAGGCGACGTAGCATGGATAGATAGTAGATAGGTTTGCCCTAGGTCACATGCGTAGAATGCGTAAGAGCAGTTGCCAAGCGCTGAATGAACATATAACGCGATAACTATAATCGTAATAGCAACGCCAGCGCAATTGAGAATGATGGGGGTTGTTCTCTGTCCGTATATGAAATTCAGTGAGTCGGTGAACGACTAAGTGTCGTGGCGTGTTATGGAGTAGTTACGTATGAGAAGTGATCCGTAGTCGCTAACAATTTACACTAATTACCCCCTCCCCCAAAACACACACAGAGGCATAGACAGTGGCATACACTCGGACAACCACGTATGCGCGCACACACGCACAAAACTCACTCATACATACACACACACAGACAAGCTCACGCCCACACACGCATCCACTCACACACGCCCACACGCACACACGCACACACGCACACACGTAAAAACACGCGCGCACGCACTCACGTGTAACAATCACGCTGTCGAAATGCGCACGATGTGCTAATGATTTCATATTGCGTCGACTTCATCCCTGCCGAGCCCCAAAATCTCTCTGCCGTCGTCGCCGTACGCGGCGCAGACACGGGCGCTGACAACATTCCGCTCAAATTAAGCCTGGCTAAATATAAATTATGAAATGCAGGGATATCCGCGAGAGTGAGCCAGCAGCAGCTGAAGCAGCAGCGCCACTCCTCGATGATGAGTTAGTTAGTTAGTTAGTTTATGCACTCGCTCGTGCATGCGCGCGCGTGCGATTGCGTACATCTGCCGAGCATAAATTTCCGGGCGAAAAAAACGCTTTCGGGTTTTGGGATTTGAAAAGAAAAAAAAGTGTTAAAAGCGTGCATTAGCAGGATGTCGGAAGCTGAATGCCTTCCTCCAGATACACGCGAAGTCACATCGCAGAAGTCAGCTTGTCATCGTAAATAGAGGAAGAGCGCGGCGAGCGGACACCTACTGGGAGGTTAACCCTGTATATATTTGTCACGTACAGCGCGGGCGCAAGCGTAAAACGCCCGAGAGACGCAGTTTTCCGGTTCCTCACGGGCATCGTACAATTAAACTCTGCATGCATCCAGCGCGAATACACGTCGGTTATTCCCGCTCTCTGTTAGAAGCCATTGTCTGATTATACCGTGTTATTTTATACCGTAGACTTTTATACCGTAGCGTTGCATACCCGTGGAAGTCTGTGTATCCTGCGCACCACTGATAACTTTCATGTTACCTCATAAGTATCGGTAGTCATGTATCGCACGAATGCAGGTGAAGAATTACGGTACACACGCGCCATGTGTCATAGAACTACTAGATGCGCTCGTGTGTCGTACACCATATTATACCTGAATCAAAAAGAGCATGTCGTATACACCATACCTAAGCGAAATGTGCATGGCGTATTCGATGTAGTCGCTTACATGACATGTCGGTAACACAGGATCTTCGTTATTTTCCGGTGTGCTTTCCTTTACCAACCGCTAACACGTTCTCACTCGCCTCTTGTTTTCTCTGGTGTGCAGTGTTTCCTCTCTCCGTCCTTCACGATGTCACCTTGCGTACAGACGCCTTCCGCACAACCAAACATATGTGCTATACGGAGAAGCCACGGAAATTACCTCACGCGATGACGTGACGGGTGCATGATGTGAACTGGCTCTCATATCAGCAGATTCTCGCAGTTGGACTTCGTTTCCCTTGAACGCGAACTCGCGCAGCGCCGGAGAGAGTCCGTAAACCCTCAAAATTGAGCGTATATTGGCGTGTTCGGTTGCGTACCCGCTCGATGCGCTCTGCATTACGATGGATCAATTCAAAGATTTGACATGAATAAATTTCGATAATGATAATAAAACTATTTCAATTTTTACGCCATTAACTTTTATCGTAGAAAGATCATCTAATCTCCATTTTCGTCTTGTCATTTGCAAATTAAATTTCCTATGGCACAAAAGATAATTGCTATAATATTGATGTTATCCAGCCGAAGAATATCGATTATTATGCATAATTATGCAATAATGTAATGACTTTTGAACATAATCTAGCAAGATGTGACAAGGGAAAACTAATGAGCGGGAAAATCCAAAGCAATGACATCTTAGCGCGTACTCGCGGCTCCCCCATATACCATTAGGAGCGACCCTATAGAAGTATATTGCTTCATTTAAAAAATTATCGTGTTCCATTGAATGACATGACGAAATAAACCCCCTCTTGTGCTCGTTTTCTCCATCACCCTCTCTCTCTCTCTCGTTCACTATCTCTCATTCCCGCTCTATCTCTCCTTTTCTTCCTCCGTCCTTCCATCCCCTTATCTTTCTCTCTCTTTCCATTCTTCCTTTCCTCCCCCCTATCTCTCTCTCTCTCTTTCCATCCTTCCTTTCCTCCCCCTTATCTCTCTCTCTCTCTCTCTCTCTCTCTCTCTCTCTCTCTCTTTCCATCCTTCCTTCCCTCCCCTTATCTTTCTCTCTTTCTTTCCATCCTTCCTTCCCTCCCTCTTATCTTTCCCTCTCTCCCTCCCTCTTTCCTTTCCTCTCCCTTATCTCTCTCCTCACTCCAGGCTCCGGTTAAGCTGAGTTCAGCAGGGCTTCTCTACGCGCGCATGTGCATCCCTTATGGCCGGTCTGGACATGGCAGAATTCCGTCGGGGTTTAGCCGCCGAAGAGCAGCTTAGCTGAGCCTTGCTATAGTCGGCTCGGTGGGGATTCTTCGATAATTAGACACGTGGCAGGCATTTGTACGAGGCTTAATGAGAGATATTAGCCTTCGCCGCTGCCGCCGCAAAGTTTTGCTTTCGAATATTTGCGCGAACATTGCATATCGGAACCGATTTCTCATTCTACTCGAATCGTATTTTACTTTAATGCTATACTTTTACTAATGCTTTACTATATTTTTTATTTAATCATATATTTAAGTCCGTACGATTTTAGTCACATGGGAGTGGCTATCATATTGTTTGTCGCTGTGTCAGCCTTGTAACACAATTGAGAGAAACAACTATACTAACAATGTAAGGATTGCTTACGTGACAAATTATCTGCGTGTAAAGGCATGTATTGTAGTAAGGTTTGTGTTTTAACATCGAGATACCTTTGTTGTTAATCAATGGCCGCGTTGATGAATTGTATCAGATGTAGGTTCTCACGTTGTGTGGTCTTTGTATAATATTGCAGGTGCCGGTTCTAGTTAACATGGAGAAGCGCAAGAGTATGCTGTTGGAGATAGACCTGCTATGTCCCAAGTCTCAGGTAGGTCATCTGTCAGATTCTTCGCATCTATAGCACAATGGTGCGTATCAGTTCGCATACGGAGAGGGTAACGTGTTGTAAAACGAGGATGGCAGCATAGCTCGAATTCCGATCTTATGTTTATGGTACGGGCATGCGCACAATTAATACACGATCATTCTTGTCATGATCTGCGTCACTATATACATTTATCACTATAATTTATGAATTTGCCACTATATACATTTATCAATACATACATTCATCACTATATTCATTTATCACTGCATAAATTTATCACTGCATACGTGGATCGGCACTACAAAGGATTATGCCGCACTGCAGGAAAATAGATGATAGTAGCAAATGTCAAACATAAAAGGAACGTCACGAATCGGTGTAGCCTAATTTACTTAGGGTGTTTTCTGATGTTCTACTCTACTTATTAAAGTGAACTTCTTTCAATGTTAAATTAATGTCTACTGAGGAGTGTATTGCTGCGTGCTATACATAGTGAATGATATAGAACAATCGGTTGCGATAGAAAGTGTTCTGCTAACTAAACGTTATGTTAGCCTGTAATATGTCGAATTATAAATTGTTAGACTTTGTCATAGCGAATTTCCGAACAATGGTCGTTTTCCACTGAAATAATATCTCAATGCATCTTGTACATCAAAGGATTGACATGCTAAATAAGCATTTTCTCTGGTAGGGGCCTATAGATAACAGGTGAAACTGCCACGCGGTCAGTTTTCTTAAAAGAAACTCGCGCGTCAACACGCGGCGAGGGTCGATGTATACGGCATTTATTTTGTGAAATGAGAGTCTTAGATCTTCTAGTCTGGGCCATTCGGCAAAAACACTGGAGAATATGTACAAACGTTAACGTGTTTCGACAGGCAAAGTTGTTGTTAAGTATGGAGGCAGCGAGAGATAAGCACGAAATCAGACCGGGGGCACACGGGTCTATTCAGTCGCTCCTCCTTCGAATCACATCTTTGTTGCGCTTAAGTGCAATATCGTGTTGAGTCGTAACAGTCTCTTCTTTATCCGGACAAAACATTGCCGGGCTCGCCGCTAAATTGGCGCGCGATAAATTGGCGTAGAATGCCAGTGAAAGATTTTGGCTCGCGTGCGCATTCAGCGTTGATGCTGCACGCATTCAGAGCTCGACAAACCATGCCTAATGGTAATTCCGGCCCGGTTCTGTACATAAGCAAGCCTTGTCGCATGCGAAGCACACACCCACACCACACACCACCTTTTGTTTAGGCACGTCGCGCGTGGACAAACTCTAGAGCGCCTTGTATGTTAAATGGTCACCCTGTTCTGTGTACGGCAATATCGAATATGGTATACAGTTTTTGTTTAGCGATACGTATTCGACATAGCCAAGAGCGCCTTGAGTGTAGCGCAGCAATAACAAGTGAACAGCAACATGTACGACCACGTTAGTGTGAACGCATTTTCAATCTCTCTCTCTGTCTCTCTTTCTATCCGTGTTTCGCTCTGTCTGACTCTTTCTCCCTGGCTCTCTTTCTCGCGCTCACTCTCTCGCACTCACCCCCTGTCTCTCTCTTGCACGCGCTCACACTCTCATTCCTCCCCTGTCTTTCTTCTCGCCCACCTCTTTCTCTCTCTCTCTCTCTCTCTCTCTCTCTCTCGTCTATCTCCTCCTCTCTCTCTCTTCTCTCTCGCTCTCTCTCCTCTCGGTCTCCTCTCGTCTCCTCTCGTCTCTTTCTCTCTTTCGTCTCTCTCTCGTCCTCTCTCTCTCCTCTCCTCTCTCTTCCGGTCGCTCTTCCTCCTCTCTCTCTCTCTCGTCATGCCTGTCAGCTCGTATCTCTTTACCACTGATCGGGTTCTTTCTTATTCTCTACCCCTCCTCGTCCTCTCCCCGTTTTTCCTCTCTCTCATCTCTCTCCCTCTCCCCTCACGCCTCCTTCTCTCCTCTTCCTCGCTCTCCTCCTCTACTTCTCTCGTTTCGTAAGCTCTCTCTCTCTCTCTTTCTCTCTGCTCTGTCCTCTCTTGTCTCTCTTACTGTCTGTCTCCTCGTTTACTTACCACGCCGCTTCTTTTATTCTCTTATCTCTCTCTGCTCATCTGTCTGTTCTCTCGTTTCTCTCCAACACCCGTCATTTTCATCTCTCTCTCTGGCCTGCCTTCTCTCGTTTCCCCTACACCACACAACCGCAGCACACCACCCCCGCTTCTTTCATTGTCTCTCTCTCCTTCTTTCTCTCTCTCTCGTGCGGCGCCGCCTCTCCCGCCGCTCATCTCCTCCCTCCCCTCTCGGCTTCGATCCTCTCTCTCTCTCTCTCTCTCTCTGTCGTCCTCGTTCCTCCACCCGTGTATTTTCATCTCTCTCTCTCTCTGGCTGCCTCTGCGTTCTTGCTACACCCGCTTCTTTCCTTCTCATTCCTCTCTCTCTCTTCTCTTGTCGTCCTCTCGTTCTCTACAACCCCCCCGCTTCTTTCTTCTCCTCTCTCGTCCCTCTCCTCTCTCCTCTCGTCTCTATCTGTCTCTCGTTTTCTTATACCTCGCTTTCTTTCTTCTCTCTCTCCCTTCTCTCTATCTCTCTCTGCTGTCTCATCAGTTTTCTTAACATCTTACACCCGTGGGCGAACCCGTTCTTTCTTCTCTTTCTTCTTTCTCTCTTTCTCTCTCTCTCTCTCTCTCTCTCTCTCTCTGTGTCTATCTCTCGTTCTCTTCCACTCGCCTCTTTCTCCAGTCTCTCTCTCTCATTCTTTCTCTCTCTTTCTCCTTCTCTCTGTCTGTCTCTCGTTCTCTTCCACCCTCTTCTTTCTTATCTTTCTCTCTTTCTCTTTCTCTCTCTATCTCCCTCTCTCTCGCTCGCGGCGGACGTGCTCGCAGCGACGAAGACCGGTGCTGGCAGCAGAGATCAGCTGCTACGCCTCGCGTGGCAGACGCGCACAATGCCGCGACGCCGCCAAAACAGCTAATTGCTCCTCGACGTCGGCCGTGAAGAGCCATTGATAACGACACAGTGGCATCTCCGTGCGGGGATAAATTAACCACTTTGCACACGGATAAATACCGTGGCTGTGTCGGATCGCGTAAGTGATTATGCGGCGCGCTGTTGCTGCTACTGCTGCTGCTGCTGATGATGATGATGATACTGTTGTTGTTGTTGTTGTTGTTGTTGTTGTTGTTGCTGCTGCTGCTGGTACTACTACTGCTGCTGTTGCTACTGGTGGTAGTGGCTCTGGCGGTGGCGGTGGTGGTGGTGAGAGGCAGTGGAAAGGTAAGAGGAAATAGGGAGGTGAGAGCCAGTGGGAGAATGGGGAGGGGAGAATGAGAGAAGGGAGAACGCCGAGAAGCGAATTGGAGAGGCGATGATAGAGAAGTGGACAAAAACGCAGGAACAGCACGTGCTAGAGGAGCCGTTCAGATTCACGCAGTCTCTTAATTGATCAAGCGCTTCCCCACCGTATCTCCCCAATACTTGAGCTTAATGGCTGTTACCCAACATTGCCAATATTGTGTTAAGAAGCCTTAGAGATTATTTGCGTGATAAATATGTGCACATACATACATGCTCTCCTCCCCTCTCGCTCTCTTTCCTTCCCCCAATCACTCTCTCTCTCTCTCTCTCTCTCTCTCTCTCTCTCTCTCTCTCTCTCTCTCTCTCTCTCTCTCTCTCTCTCTCTCTCGCTCTCTCTCGATCTCTCTCTTCTCCGCTCTGGTTCTCTCTCATTTTCCAGTGTACGGTTACATGGATGTCGCGGCGACATTTGTTATATATTCGCGTAGTTCGCTTAGAAAGAATCGCCCGCATACGCGAAGAAAATACGAACCCCTTGTTAGCTTAGGGAATTCACAGCATTCGCAGCGTACGTGGGTAACGTAAAATCTAGTTAACCACGTCGAATGACTCGGCGCGCCTGTGGCCAGTATCAAAATTACTTCTCCGTTGAAATGTTATCCCGCGCGCTTTCAAATAGATAAAAAAGGCGCAGCGCACCAAAAAAAAACGTATTTGTCTCGACTTGAATGCATCTTGTTTGCGACTTAGCTGCAGCTGTCTAAACTTAAAATTTCCATTTGTCGAGTTAAAAGCGCGAGGCGGCCACCATTGTGCGTCACTGGTCGGCGCGCGGGCGATGCTGGTTGGTTCGTACAACGCGGAGGGCTTACGAGAAGCACGCGCGTGAAAACAGAAGAGGCTTTAGTCGCGCGCTGCGAAGTGCTGTTTGCGCGGCTCAAGATCCGCTTCAAGCTGGCGCTGGCAAATTTCGGCGCGCTGTGTGAGCACGTGAAGGCGGTTTTTCGATACCCCACGTGGAGCGAGCCGAGGAGAAGAGAATGAGACACACACACACACTCACACACACACATACACACGCACGCACGCACGCACGCACACGCCACACACGCACACGCACACACGCACACACGCACACGCACACGCACACGCACACGCTCAGCACAGCACACGCACCGCCACGCACACGCACACGCACACGCCACACACACACAGAAACACACACACGCACACAGGGGGGGGGGGAGCTGTCCGCAATCCGTGCTGATTGTGTACCGCCTGAGTTCGCGAAAAGCCGTTAAACTGTCAAAACCTATGATTCTCTTAACTTCTGTGAAATATCTCCCGCTCTCACCTATTCTGTTTGAGTTGATTTGAGTGTCAGTAGCCCAGCCCGTACACTCCTTTAAAAGCGTGCAGACATTATGTCTTTCACTCTGTCTATATCTCTCGCATGCGCGCGCTCTCTTTCCATATATATATATATATATGTGTGTGTGTGTGTGTGTGTGTGTGTGTGGAGGTGGGGTGTGTGTGTGTGTGGTGTGTGTGTGTGTGTGCTGGTGTGTGTGTGTGTGTGTGTGTTGTGTGTTGTGTGCGCGCGTAGTGCGTGTGCGTTTGCGTCGTGCGTGTGCGGTGTGTGTGTGTGGGTCCCTCTTTCATGAGCTGTTTTGAGCCCTTCTTCTCTATCTGTTTCTCTTTCTATATCTCTCTGTCATCTGCGTCGCGCGCTCTC